TATATATATATATATATATATATATATATATATATATATATACACACACACAGATACATAGATAGATATACGAAATGACATAAGCTCGTGCTTTTTCCCTCCCAAGATATTTCAAATCGTCTTACCTAATCCTTTGGAATATTTTTAATAGACTATCCCACATTGTCCTGTACAAAACAGACCGCGTCTAATGCCTAGCTTCCCGGTATTACAGCAGACTGACAAGTCTCGTGATTTCCTGTTGGCTGAAAGCCTTGTTGATTTTACAACACTCGGAGTTTATATGTATATATAAAACAACCAATGTTAATTACAGCCCTGATCTGTCACTCTGTTTGTTGCACATATATATATTAATATGACATGAATATTCGAGTTATGAATAACGTCCTCACCAATTTAAACATTTAGCACCTTGGAAATAGGCGTATCGCGTATCCAAGTGGCCTTACAAATTACTCTGCGTACAGCCTTCAATCGTGACATGTTATCGATAATACAATAACAAGTTTGTAAATAGTGTTTTTTTCTACACTCGCGTACTAAAACAGGCAGCACTGTACCAGGGAATGTCTCGTAATTAACGAAACCCATCAAAGTTGTAAAAATAATACTTCGTTCTCCCGATAGCGTGGGCCTGTATTCATACTCCTCCGCCACTGAAATAAAAGTCAGTGCACAGAGTGTAAGTTTATAACCGTTAATTTGTATCTTCGTCTAACAGAATGCAAGTTCAAAACGAAATATGAAATTAGTTTCTATAGGCAACGTAAGGATTTACGATACAAGTTGTTAAATATAACAACAATTTACGAGACAATGGTTTCGTTACATTTGGCAATAACCGGGCGAAGGCAGAAATAAAATGACGAGCTTACCCCCCCCCCTTTCCCTTCAAATAAATTATATACTTTATTTTCTTCTGACCTAGGGGGCCATCTGATTTCGAAGGCTAAACTATGAAGAAAAAAAGAGCCTTGGTAACTGAAAGTAATATAACTTAATAGTTAATACTATTACTATTATAATGTGTATATACGTAAGTTAGGCAAACCAAAATGCTTTCGGCACTTACCACTCCCGTTGGCTGATTCATTCGGTTAGGAGCCATCATTCACTCCAGACAGTTTTAAATTGGATGTATCTGTCTACACAGTGAAGTCAAACGTAGAAATAACTTTATATATTGCTCCAATCGTACGACCAAGCGAAAACTGAGGCTTCGGAACTTGCACTCTCGACTAAGAGCTCTCCTCAGTCACGACGTTACGCAACGTAGCTGACGGGTCACGTGGGATATCGCGATCAATGTTCAAGGACCAGTAATTGTAAACGTTGTCTTTATGAGATAAAGTTTTAACGAAGCTATTGTCTAGATGACGTCACAAACCAACTTATTGTTTCATAACCAAGCGTTTTGACACGAGCCACCACAATCTGTGGCCACTATGATAGCTTATCACTCCCCCCGTAGCTCTAGATAAACACCAAAATAAACGCTACTATAGTGGAAAATACATCGGTGTAAAGAACTTTGCTTCACTCGTGTGATTCCAGGTAAACACACTTTTCTTCAAACACACAACTGCTTAGTAGTTATAACTTATTTACGTTTATATCAAAAATTGAAGCCATCAAGTTCTCAAGAATGATCGCAACAGTGATCGAAACGTCGTACCTTTTTTTTAAAGAATATTCTTACTTACTGTAAAAGCTGTAACTTGTAATAAAATAATAATTCATAATGTTATTCTACGACCTAACGTTAGATTTTTTTTAAAAACTGCGATAAGCTTTTACTAAGTTGTTGTACAAAATGTCTACTAAGGTATTTTTTTATACCCACTGTTTGTTACACCCATTGAAGTGCGCATGCGCATTTAGATAGTATGGCGCGCATTTTCAGGACAGACAAAAACAATTATTATAATAGATTGCTCCGCTAGAGTATTTGAAATTATATTACGTAAGATATTAGCAACAAGTGAGGAGGAAGAGGTCACAGCGTACCTGACCCTCCTAGGTCACAAAGACCTAAATTCCGACCAGGAGAGAGAGAGAGAGCAACAAGTGAGTTAGTCCCTCAGTGGTTCAGCGATAAGTCGGAAAACTTATAACGTAAAAGAGCGAGCCTTGATACATGTGATTGGTATAGTATATATAGCTCGTTGTATAGATTTGCGCTTAACAACAAAAAACTTGAGTTTGTACTTATGTTTGTTTTTTAATCGTTCTAACTGAAATATTTCAACGTTTCATTCTTAAAAACAGAGTTAAAAAAGGAGCATACAAGGTCAATGACATTTTCATGACTGTCAACTCTGTGAGAGCCAAGAAGTAGGCTTGAAAATTCTGACGAAGTATCGCGGTACATGTTGCGTCAACCACCATTTTTCTTGAATGTTCTAAATATTTCCTAATAAGTTTGATTTCTGGATGCGAAGCTGTGAGAAGAAACTAAGAGATGCGATAATATTACAACATACCAAAATACAGAGATACCGAAAACAATAGGGTCTATTGTGTAGTAAGCTATTAAAGTACGTTTTGAAACAAAACAATTAACAAACATTGATAAAAAAAATAAAGTTAAACAAAGCATGGCGCGTGCTCCCGTAATCAATACGATAAGTCATATAAATGGTGAAGAAACAAAACAATTGATTACGTAGGGCACGTGCTTTATTGCTAAATCAAAAATAGCTTTGAATGAAGAACAAGTGATAGAGAAACTGTATCAATGACCGACAGGGAAAAACTTGTTGTTGTTCTAACGAAAATCAAGACACAAATGTTGCATACCAGAAAGCACCGTCAGGTGTCCCAAGAATGTCATAAATATTTTTTATCGTGTAAAGATGTTTGTTTGTTGGTTGTTAAGCGCAATGGGCTATCTGTGTTGTGCCCACCACAGGTATCGAAACCGGATTTTAGTGTTATAAGCACCACCTGGGGTGATACAATGTGTTGTGAATCCCCAATAAAGTAGAATCCAAATATAAACTAATTAGTATTTACTTCATATAAAGTTGTAAACAAGGTAATGTAACTCTTATTCTTCATGGGCATACCCACACCTGCCTACATTCATGAAATCACTGAACAAATGTTTCATCAGTGTTACTGAAGCTTCAAAAAGCAAGGGCTAGGTTCTGATGGTAAAGTCATCCTTGTAGGGTTATTTCTAACTATATCAAATACTGATGACACATCATTAAGAGTGATACATCTTCGAACCCCGGATAAGCAGCTTCGTCATTCTTTGCCTTAAACCTTACTCTCGGGAAGACCGAGCTGGTTTCCAACTCTGGTCAGGAGTCTTTATTTAACTGGTTTGTCAGGTGGTGGTTCCATATCTAGCCAGTACTCTGGTGATTGGCTTTTCTGTATAACGTCTTCTGAGCCAGTTAAAGTCCTCTTACCGCAAGATTAGTGTTATATTTCAACAAGTGAAGTAAAGTACAGACCAGTCCAATCCATACTGTTCGGTACCAAATCCACACCCTTAGGCTAACTACCCACCATTTGTTCTTTGGTGATAGGATCATTCTGAACTCAAAGTTATTTTAATTGAAACTATCCACCAGTTGCTTAGTAGTGTTAGGAGTATTATGTTCTTATTGAAATTTGCAGCTCAAACATTGGGCTTTCCGATCCGCAACCTGGAAAGTTAATGACTTGCTTCTATTGAATATTTTTATCCTTAGGTATCTGGAACCATTCTATTTAAATACACTAAATTAAATTTATAATACTTAAATAGGTTAACTTGAATATTCTTAACCTTAAGTATTTAGATCAGTATTACTTAAAATTAAATACACTAACTTGAGGAAATTATGGAATATAGTTCAGCGTTCACTTTCGTTAAGCCTAAATTAGATGTTAGTCGGCCACTTCAGCTTATCGAATGAGGTAAATTTTAAAAGTTTATCATTATAATTTTCATAAAATAATAATAATAATAAGTAATAATTTTTCTTTGTGGTTTTATATGCTTCTGCTTGTTTCACTGGAAAAAAATCATTATTTGTATAACAGTCGTTTTTTATTTTTCCTTTAATCGTTTTAAAATAGTTTTCGAAAAACAGGAAAAAGCATGTGAAATCTTATCGGTGCCATTGTTAGACTATTAACTTTTCTATAAATATATATATGTATATATGTTGTGAAAGTACAATTTATCACACGATTCATATGTAAAGGGCGTTATTATATATAAACTAAAATTAATCTTATCATCATTAATTGTTTTCTGAACAAACTTTTTCTAACCAACGAGGCCAAGGTGAAAGTTGGTGTTCTTTATTAAGGTATACCACCTCGTGCTCATATCTAATGATATGTTATAAAACAACAATTCAAAATGTTATCAGTGTGATTAAAATGTGATAGTGAACTTTATGTTACATGTATGTAAAAACTGTCTCGTGTCAGCTGGTAACAGGCTCTAGTTGCTACACGAGTTTTTACGAAATAATGTATCTGTAGCGGAGTGTGATCTATCTGATGATGTTTCAACCGTCACGCGTTTACTCTTCCGGATTTTATAAGTATAAATAATGGTAATATTACTCTCTATTGACTCAGGAAGAACATACAACTCAGTATGTTCCTGTAACTACGTCGTTTAACAACTCAGCATGTTCATGTAACTACGTCGTTTAACAACTCAGCATGTTCATGTAACTACGTCGTTTAACAACTCAGCATGTACATGTAACTACGTCGTTTAACAACTCAGCATGTTCATGTAACTACGTCGTTTAACAACTCAGTATGTTCCTGTAACTACGTCGTTTAACAACTCAGCATGTTCATGTAACTACGTCGTTTAACAACTCAGCATGTTCATGTAACTACGTCGTTTAACAACTCAGCATGTCCATGTCACTACGTCTTTAACAACTCAGCATGTCATCTCACACTTCCCAAGATGTACGTTAGAATTATCACCCGCCACAATAGCATATGTTAAATGAGTTTAAATTTAAATCAAACAATTAAGCCATAAACAACTAGCGTCGCGTACGTTCGTAGGAACAGAAAAATAACACAACAAACTACAAAATGGGTCCAAATGTCTTAGTGGAAGAAGTCCTCACACAGAGATGGGACTACACGATTTTACTTCGCCTACTAATTTATCTGGAAGGTTTTGCATGCATGTTGTGCAATTATTTACTTTTACAGCTTTTTTTTTAATAAGAGGTTATAGATTTTAAATCATCCCACTTGTGCATGTGCTCTTTACCAAAAACATTCTACTAATATTAATTTGTAAGTTTATACCTTATGTACTTGTCGTCAACACGTATTAGTGTTGGAAATAAAGGTCTATGTTACAGTAATATTGTTAAAAAATGCGTGCTTCCATAACAATATTTATTTACTGCTGTGTTTGTCCACGTGGTAACTGAACCATGCACGTGATTCAGACTTTTCTCATTTATGTCATGTAGGATGTTTCAATTGAGATTTTATTTTGTTTCCCGACGCTCTGATCAGAGTTATAGAGAAAATATATTCCTGTTCGAATAGACTTGTAGAGAAAGCGTCTACGATAGAAATTGTCTTAGCACTCTTTGTCCTGTTGGGTCATTTAACTGGCCACGCGACAACTGAAGCAGGAGAAGATTAGCATCACAGCAGGGATGCCAACACTGCTTCGCCTCACAGTGCCTCGATAATTGTTTGTTTGTTGTTAAGCGCAAAGCTACACAATAGGCTATCTGTGCTGTGCCCACCACGAGTATCGAAACCCAGCTTTTAGTGTTATAAGACGTCAAGCATATCGCTGAGCCACTGAGGGCATTTTGAAAATAATCACTATAAAGTACACTAGACAGTAACTGGAAATATAATGCACACTAAAACAAAAACTCGCACATAAGTCTTCACATATCTTCCAGCTGGGTGTTAATCTGCTACAGTGTTCAGAAGGGCTGTATGTGTTGACGGTGACTCAGATTCGAACCTGGGTATTCGTTTTAGATGAGCAGGGAATCATCCGTTTGTTTGTTTGCAATTAAGCACAAAGCTACACAATGGGCTATCTGTGCTCTGCCCACCACGGGTATCGAAACCCGGATTATAGCGTTGTAAGTCCACAGACATACCGCTGTGCCACTAGGGGGCTCACTCATCCGTTTGTTTGTTTGTAATTAAGCACAAAGCTACACAATGGGCTATCTGTGCTCTGCCCACCACGGGTATCGAAACCCGAATTCTAGCGATGTAAGTCCGCAGACATACC